CCTTCTCTCTCTCTCTCTCTCTCTCTCTGAATGTGTGGGTGTTTTCCCTTCTTTCTCCTTTCCTTGCTATTATTTATTTATTTATTTATTTATATTGTTCTATACGCACGTGTGTGTATCAATACTGTGCCTGTGGTGCACAGTTGTGTTTTGTATTACAATAATGCGGGTGCGGGAGGAAAAGCAGAGCGGTCAAAGTGTCCTCGCGCAAAAGGAACTGTATTGTTGTGGGGTTCTTACATGCATTTGTGTACATGGCTGTGGAGCATTAACTGTTGTTCTTGCTGTCATTGTTTTTTTGTACGCCTATGGATGCATACGGAGTTAATATCATTGATATTTCATTTATTATATTTTGATTTGATTTGGTTTGTTGGTTTTTTTTTTTTCTTCTTCTTCTTTGGCTTCTTCTTTCCAGAGGAGGGTGGATGTGGTGGTGTCGTTCTGTTGATTTGATTTCACATTTGTTTTTTTTGTTTTTTTTGTATTTATCTCGCTTTCTTTCAGTTTCCTCCTCCTCCTTCTCCTCCCTTTACTTTGCGTGTCGTGGGAAGGCGGAGGGGTGTCCGCTGCGCCGCACCCGTGGTGAAGTTATTTTATTCATTTTATGTGTGTGCACGTGTGTGTATCACACAATTGTGTGATTAGTTTTTTTTTTGGTTTGTTTTTTGCCCAATGTGGCGAGGCATGTTCTGTGACTGTGTCTCTGTGTGCCTTGCGTGTCTGTCTTCGCCTGCCGGGGTGCTCTTTGACATCAAAAAATACCATCACACACCACCTCTGCCGTTTTCGCGTGTGCTGCTGTCGCTGTCTTGTCGTCTTCTCCTCTTGTGTGTGTGTGTGTATGTGTCCATGCACGGAGCGGGGGGAACCCTAAGGACTAGAGCACAGGGAAGCGAATACGAATTAGATAAAAGGCGACAACGAGCGGGGGAACCTGGCGTCATGCCTACAGCAACGGATTTTGTTCAGGACTATGCGGCAAAGCGGGCAGCGCAGATGGAGCGTGCCAAGCGAATTCGTGAGGATCGGCGGAAGTTTCAGCAGGAACCACAACAGCAGCAGTCGTCGCAACAGCAACAACAACAGCAACAGCGGTCGCTTTCCCACGCCACAAACAGCAGCAACAACAAGATGGACGACAGTCTCGTGGTGACCCCGTCCGTGCTGGCCACGGCAGCACGTAGTCGCCGCATCGCAAATGTGGTGGAGGAGGATTTTAAGCGTGCCACAAAGGCCGGCATCATCACACCCGACCAGGCGCGTCAACTGTGGGCGATGCTCTCGGATCAGCTCGTGCAGGTCGATAGCCCCGGGCCTAGCGCGCTGACGAGTAGTAGCTACAACGCACACATTACGGCGCCCACAACGCAGAAGGCGCAAACGCGGGCAACGGCAAACTTCGGCAACAGCATCTCGCTGGACTCTCTGCGCGCCTCCATTGCCCAGTTTAAGGAGAAGCAAAAGCAAAAACAAAAGCAAAAGCAGCAACAGTGGCAGGATGCCGTCGAGCGGCAGGATTTAGTGGGAAGGGCAGGTAGCGGCGGCGGCGGCGGCGGCGGCGGTATCACGAATGAGGCGTATGAGGTTGCGACCCGCATGTTTGCGCCCCCGCCGTCAGGTGTGCTTGCAGGAACCGCCGGGGCAGCCATGTCACGCTCCACACGCAGGGAACTTCACACCGGCAGTAATGAACCTGCAGCTCTGCAAATGGAACTTGCAGAGGGGCCAGCGGGTGACGATGATATGGGTATCCCTGGACTTCGACAAAGTTCAGTGGCGCGGAATTTGAGGCGTGATAAGCAGCTCTCGCAACCAACGAAGCCGGCGTGGAACTTTGATGTGGAGGTAGGGCACAATGAAGAGGAGGAGGCGGTGGCGGGGGCAATTCCACCCATGAAGCATCCACTGTCCCGGCAGAAGCGTGGCACAGAGGCAGTCAACGCCGGCGGGGGTGCACAGCAGCGCATTAACCCGCCCATGCAGTTTGACGAGATGCATGTTGGGGGTGTGGCGTCTTCAAAGGCAATAGAGGCGTCCCAGCGACCGCAAGTGCCGCAGTCTCAGCTTGGTGTTGCAAAGGTGCCAATGAACAAAATGAAGGTGAACAACGCCCCCGCTCAGTCTTCCTCACGAGGCACCACCTCTTTGGACGATGTCGTTGTTGGTGCAGGCGGTGTGAAGAGCCTGGGTGACACCGCGGGGTCGCAGTCGTCGGAAAACCAACATCTGCTGCCCTGTGGCTTGTGTGGCCGGAGCTTCCGCGCGTCCATCCTCGCACGGCACGAGGCCGCCTGCGCGAAGGTGCAGAAGAAGCGGCGCACCTTTGACATGAAAGAGCAAAGATTAGAGGGCATTGAGGGCATTCGCGAGGCGCCTGCAGCGAATATCAATGCCTCGCTGCGGGGCGGCAAGAGGCAGCCGGCGGGGGCAGCTGTTGCCAACTCCAACCCAGGCAAACTACCCAAGTGGAAGATACAGCACGAACAATTTCAGGCTGCTATGCGTGCCATGCGGCAAGTAAACGCGGAGGCAGGCGGCAACGGCAATAACTTTGGTGGTAGCAAACAAAGAAATCCGCTTCCGCCACCACCGCAGCCCTTGCCTGAGGAATATGACGACCGCGTGCCGTGCCCGCACTGCGGTAGGAAGTTTGCCGAGCTCACGGCGCAGCGGCACATCCCGAAGTGCATGACAACCATTGCGAAGCCAAAGGGACTCCGTCCGACGCGCCGGTGATGCGGCGCGCTCCTTACGACATATTTATTTCTTCTGCATGCGTGTTTGCCGGTGCATGTGCGCTTCCTCTCGACGTGTGTTAGGTCCTCATCCTGACCACCATCTTTTTGTGGTAAGAAAGGAGTAAGGGAAGTTGGGTGCGAGGGCGTTTCTGCTGGCCACTACTGTGCCTCCACATCAACACAGTGGCTCGTCATTCCATCATTTCCCCTATTTTTCAATGCCGAGGTGCCGCGTCATGCTTCATACCGTTTGTGGGTGGGATGGAAAGGGGTAGTGATAAGGAGAGAAGAGGCGAGGCAGGGATTGTGAGCTCTTCTCCTCCGCCTTCCTGCCCGAGAGCGGTACAGCCACTGCAGGCGGTAGGGCACAAGGACGGCATCGACGCCGGGCACCGAAGCGCGGAAAAACTTTAAAAAAAGGAAGGAACGTAACGGCAGGGATGGTGGTGGTGAAAACGAAAGAGAGAGGAATAGCGACTAAAAAATAAGCATGAGAAAAAGTGCAAGGGAGGGTCGTGATGCTGCTGCAGGGGTGACGACGGTGCTGTAAATGTTTCTTGCCCAGTCGCCTGTGTTTTTTTTTATTTACTTGTGTGCGTGTGTTGTTTTTATGTTTTGTTACTGTGGTGGTGATCCGGCGCTGAAGTGCGAGCCATGCCCCCTGCCCCCTCACGCCTTTGCAGGCAGGCAGGCAGTCTATTACAGTACGTTATATGCGTGGGCAGGGATCAGAGAGATAATGAAAAGAAGAGGGAGATGAGATGAGATGCGGCTAGGTAAGGGAGAGCAACGAGGGAGAGAAATGTTATTTATTTGCCTCGCCGTGCCACTGACAACAGCAGCACCCACGGTGTGCGCCTGGAGCAGAGAGAGGGGGGAGGGGGGAAAGGGAGATGTGTAGAGAGAATCATAGAGGGAGGCGGTGTGAGGAGAAGCGGGGCATACCCCCTTGTGCATGTGGAGCTGCCCCATAAATTTAGTTGTATTTGTGTGTTTGTCTTTTGTTTCTGTTTTATTTTTGTTGTTGTTTGGTTCTTGGTTTCCCTCTTTGGGGGGGGGGGGGGGAGGGTGAAGTCAAGCAGAGAGGAGGAAAGTACATGCTGCTGTTAAATGCGTGGGTGAGCCTTGTACCAGTTGAAGTGTTTAGTCACACATGCATATGCATACTATTAAGTATGAACATTATCACTACAGGGACTGTTTGTATCCGCCTGTTTATAAGTTATATGCATATATCTAACCTTTTATATGAGTGTTGCTGTTTTTTTCTTTCTTTCTTTGTGTGTGCATCCATATCAGTGGGGTACGTGAATGTGTATACAGAATGGCGGGCTGGAGGAGACGGGGTGACATATATAAAAACTTGCACAAAAGCACACACGCATACGAACAAACAAACAAACAATCTCTCTCTCTCTCTCTCTATATATATATATATATATGCATTTATCTCCAGTTATGTATGTGATGTGTTTCTGCCCTCCACGTCACTCTGTTATTCTGCTTGCTGCTGGCCGCCCTCCGCCTTTGTGTGTGTGTTTTTTTCTTTTGCCTTTGTCGATTTTCTCGTTTCAAGGAACAGCGCTGATCCTTCTCTGGGCGCTGGTGTGGTTTAGACCGTATTTCATTTTTCCCTGATGCTGCGACGCACCGCCACAACGCTGCGGTACCGCACGGCATGGCGAGAGCTTCTGCACCCTCTGCCCGTGCGGGCGCGAAGGGCGGAGTGGTTGAAGCGTGACGCGGTTGAGCAGAATGAGGCGCTGCTACGCCGGCCGTACTACACCCTTAAGTCCTACACACTGCCGCCAGTGGTGGGGCAGCAACCCGCCACAAGCACCACGGACGCGCGACGCCGCGGTGCTGCCTACTGCACCTCCTCCGATAGCGTCGATGACATACTACGGCAGCCCCGACGTGTCACCTCCCCAGAGCGGCTCAAGGAATTGCGTGAGGAGCTGCAGTTCCCCAGCGCTGTTGGGCCGCAGCTGGAAGCCATGTCCCCGACGGGGCGACCGACGGAGAGCTACACAGAGGCGTACGGGTCAAGGTTGCGTCCACGCTACCCAGAGAGCTGGGACACGGTGCCGCCGCATCAACCCTCAAGAGGCATGTTGTGAGTGGCGGAATCACGCTTGTTTCTGCCCGATAGCAAAAAGTAGGTTCTTATGTCGTCTCTAAGTGTATTATTTGTGTGTGACGCTTGACAGTGTTGGGCCCTTCACCCCACAACTGTGGTCTTATTGCCACTTCACTTGCACTTCTTTTCCTTATCCTCGTTGCCCTGGGCTGGTGTGCTGCAGCACGGCTTGTAGTGCGCACGTGCGTGTGTGTGTGTGTGTGTGGAGTTTAGGGTGGCAAAGACGAAGGGGTAGCTGCTCAGCGGCGCATCAAAAAGGGGGGTGGAGCGGGGAGTTGCAGGCAAGTGCGCGCATCGGGGCCTGTTACGCCGGTGTTTTGTCACTGTTCATGGCGCTCTCCCTTCGCGACGTCACGGCACACCCCGCCGACGCCGAGGCGATAGAGCTCCTCAAGGATGAGTACAGGAGGTGGTGCGTCAGGAGTCTGGACGACGACGACGACGACGACGGGTATGGTAGCGGAGACGGGGAGGGCTGCAACAACAACAGCGACGCCGGCGCCGGTGCCGACAACGACGACCTGTACTTCGGGCTGCCCAACGTAACGGGTGCCTTCAATGTGCGGGCGCTGGCTCGGGTGAAGTTCCCACGCGTGTGGGTCGTGCCGTTGGGGACGATACCAGCCGCCTGCTACGCAAACGCGGCGGTGAACGGGGGCTCGAGCATGTCGGTTCTGGGTGATTACAGTAAAGCCCGCGCGGTGGTGCGCGTGTGCAGCGAGCTGCTCAAGTCGCCGGGCGAGGGGGGCTTACCCCAGAAGGTGTTGGCCATGTGGCCAGAGAGGCGACCGCAGTCGACTCTGCCTCACCTGACGCAGAAGCAGCAGCCGGTGCTTTACTGGCCTGCGTTTGTGACGCGTATCGTAGGCGTCTTTGCAGACCCGCTGCTGGACGGCTCCCCCGCCTGCCATGCCAAACTCCAGGCGCATGAGAACTTTGACGACATTCTTGTCATGGCGCTGCGATCGCCGATGCGGGTCTGCGTGGATGTGGCATTCTGCATCGACGAGGTTAGCGAGGCGCGGCGGCTCACCATCGCCCCAGCGGTGCGGTACCCCGTCGGCGCCGCCACGACACATGATCCTGAGATTGCCCGGGTCTCGGAGCTGGCCAGTGCAACGCTGAGGGCAGGCCAGAGGGAACACCTGCGGGCTGCCAGTGAGGCGGATTGCCCACTGCTCGTGCCGGAGGTGATGCCGGAGGTGGTGTCGATCCGCAACTATTCCTACACCGCTGTGCCCGGAAAAGGACGGCGGGCAGCAACCGTAGCGTCAGGCTCCGCAGCAGCCCTGGCATTTTCACCGTCCATTGGAGTGACTTCCACGGCAGGGGCGACGGTAGCGGGAGATGCGGCATTGCAGAGTAGAAACTGTGCTGTAGGCGGCGGCGTTGTTGCTACTGCTGGGTTACCCAGGGCAAAACTCAACCGCAACACGCTCTCGCACAGCCCTATCGCGTTGCTGGATATGTTGGCGGGCCCCATTTGTCACGCCGGGAAGTTTGTTTTCCTAAAGCCGACGGTGCAGACTGCAGTGGCGGCGCAGCGTGCAGCTGTGGAGGAACTTCGGGCACTTTGGCAGAGACTGCGACGGGCACGGTTAGAACCCCTTCGTGCTGAAGAAGCTACGCTGCCGTCTTTGCGTGCCGAGTCGATGAAGGAGGCTGCAGAGCCGCCCTTGCAGCTGCCTGATCCCCACACGTACGTGAGCCCGTACGTGCAGGAAGACCGCAAGACAAGGGGAGAAATGAGACCACCATCGCCTACCAATCCATCACATGCGTTGGCCGCTGCGGGACCGCAGTGCAAGCTTCCCGTCCTGCAGGGTCACGGTGGTGGTGGATTGGCAGGCGAGACAGCGTGGCGGCGGCGACATCAGGCGCATGCGCATTTGGGACCTGCCTCTGAGTCTACTGGCAGTGCAGCTCAGAGCCAAGGTGCAGAGAGTGCGAGGCGCTCGGCGCGGGCTGAGAAGTCGCCCTCCCTGTTTCGCACGCATGACCCGGAGAGTGACATTAGAACCCCGTGCACCGTCACCGCATCGCAGTGCTCGCTGCTGTGTGAGGGTGGCACAGACGCGGGTGCCGTCGGCGGCCCTGCGCGAACACCCAACAGCGTGGGCCGCGCCACCGCCAGCGGCCACTCCGTCACGCTGGGACGCAGTGGTCTGTGGAGCGGCAATAGCCGCACGCCGACACCGACGCCAGAGGTGGAACCGCTAGAGATCTCGTCCCTCCACGACGCGCGGCGCGGTCGGCAGGCTACCCCGCGATCAATACCGGAGAATAGAGAAACTGCCGCTGCTTGCTCAGTGCGGCGGGTGTTGGAGACGAACATCGGCAATAGTAATAGTGTCACCGTCACCTGTAACGATGATAAGGGCGCAGAGGCGGCAGTAGGCAACAACAGACACCCTTCGCAGGTGGTGGGCGAAGATTCTGCGCTGAGCTGGCAGAGTCTCACGTGGAATGCTAGTAGCGAGGAGAGCTCACCGTGGAGGGAATTCAATCACGCGCAGCAGCGACGGCGGCACATCTCCTGGCAGGGCGCCGGAGATACCGCAACGCAGGCAGGAACACCGGATGAGGAGGCTGACGGGAGGGCGCAAGAAACAGCACCAAGCCCCTCGCCGTATGCAAAGGATGCCTTTCACAGCTTCTCAGCGCCAGTGTCAGCGGTAGCAGGCCAAGAGAAACAGACGCAGGGCTTATCGCCGCCGCGGCACTTGGGTAGAAATGATGGAGTATGTGGGAATTGTCTTCACGCATTTTCACTTTATGCATCGAGGTCTGTTATGCCAGTCCGTGGCACCTGCGGCAGCACGGCATGTGTCACAAGGGACCACGAGAAGCCGATGGGAAGCCATGAGCGGGCGACAACAGAAAGCGTGAGAAAGAGTAAGTCACCGATGTTCACGTCGCCAACGCGGCAGACGTCGACTGCACCGTCCTCGTGGCATTTAATTGACCGTGCGGGCGACGACGCTGCATCTATCGCGGTGCGCCACGCGTCCCTCCCTTCGCATGCAGCAAGGATCCCCAGCGCGGACGTCGGTGGCGCGAAGTGCCGCAACCGCGGGCATTCTGAGCCACACCCTCGCAGTCGCGCTTCGCGTCAGGCTCGTTTTTTTACCGCGGACACTGCCAGAAGTTGCCGCTACGCCCTGACCTCGTGGCGTGATCCGTCCGGGGTGGAGGTCAACGTGGATGATGCACGCCTCCTCCCACCCGCCGTGGCAAGTGCGTCCCCGGCACAACCCGCCGTTCACCTCGAGTCGCACCAGGAGCTGCGGCGGCGAACGGGGCACGAAGATGTTTGAGGAAGAACACTGAGGTTGGGAGAAGCAGCAGCAGCAGCGGCAGCGGGTGTGGGGCAACGGTGAAGGCAACTTGCGGGCGCCGCTGTGCACCCGCCGCCTTTCCCTGCTACTCGTACACTTGCCGAGGAGGTGGAGGTTGGTTTGTTTGTGTGCATGTGTTTACTTCTTACTCCCGCACGCTCCGTGCATTTTACGTCTTTCCGGCATGCACATGACTCTTTCTCTCTCTCTCTCTCTCTCTCACTGTGTGTGTGTGTGATATATTATGTACGGTTTTCCCCGTGTGGCTGTTGTATCTACGACTTTCCGCCCACACCTCTCTGTCCCTTTGTCTCTATTCCTCACTCTCTTCGCAAGTGGGTGCTAGAGTTCCCTCACTAGTGGTGGATCGTTATACCGGTGTGTGTGTGTATGCGCGTGTATTTTTTTTAATTATTATTTTCTCTTTTTATGTATGCGGGTATTTATCCGGCATCTCTGCTAGGTCAGTTTCTCGCTCAATATGTGGCTGTGGCTGCATTGTGTAGCTTTCCATCACCGGTATCATGTGGTGATTGGTCGCGGTTTGCGTTCCACAGCCCCATAGAATGACGAAATGTGCATGCATCTTCCCCACTTGTCCCACACACATAAATATTTTGCCCCTGTCTCTGTGTGTGTGTGTGGACTTGTCACACACTTGCTGCCGTTGGGGCAACGGCACTGCTTGACACGAGCGCTGAATGCCTTCCAGGATTTCGCCGTGTACGCTGTTTTATTTCTCCCTCATGCCTTGGTTGTTGTGTTTCGTTTTTTTTTTTCACTTTTTGGCCTTGCGCCACTGCTCACACACGTCCATCCTCCTCACTGGGGACAGTAAGAGGGTTAGGAAACGTAAGAAGCAGGACTCTCTCCCTCTCTCTCTAGCGTTGAAAACAAGGGGGAAACAAAAACGGAAGGAGTGAGGGGAAACAGAATTACTATTGGTAGTAGTAGTAGTATTATTGTTTATTTTTTGTGTGTGCGGGTGTGTGGGGGAATGCGGCGAATGTATCGTCACGTGTCGTCGTAT